GTATTGCCCGCGCATTTTGAATGGCTGCATCTGTAAGTGGATCTTTAAAACACAGATCAGAAACCTGTGTTTTAAATACAGTTGCTAAATAGTTGACATTGGAGTGTTGATAATATCACTGCCAACCTAGTATGGCAAAATCAGAAAAATAGAGTAATAGCCCTGAACTACCATCCCTGGATGTTAGTTATCTAAGATTAGGATGCACTTAGATTAAGAAAATACATAATGCATTATCCAAAATACATGTGACTTTCTCTAATGTTATTTCAACATTTTATAATTTTTGTAATAATAATCTTTATTATTTTGTAATAAAGATATACAGTAAACATATCTTTAATATGAGTACACCAATCCTGAAAAAAAAAAAACATCAAGGAAATCTTGTGACACCTGACTTTGATATTTTGCTATAGTTTCTGTCAATAAGTACCCTACGGTGAGGTTCATAAGAGGAAACATAACTGTAATATTTCCAGTTTATGACACTGAATTATCTTAAGTTCTTGATGCAAAAAAACATAAGAAAAATTGATTGGAGCTCCCTGACAAGCAAAAAGCTTTCTTGACAATGTTAATATCTAATACATCCTCTTCCCTGGACAAGACTTGCTTTGCACTAGCATTGGCTTTACATTAAAACCTTCCATGGGTCCCATAATAATCTTTTCTAAGGAGAGTTTAAATTACATGTGTAAAGATCATGCAGAGAAGTTGCTTCTGTGGAAGTATAGTTTGGAGTAAGCCTAATGTGATCTCCATCTTGGCTTTATTTTACACTCCAGTCTCACTTAGCTTTGCTCACATAAGGTGAAATATGAGGTTTGCTGAACATTATGAAGAACTCATATTGCAATCTGGTCAGGGAAGCACACAAGTTATTTTTATTATTTATTATTTACTGAGTATTTTAATTTGTGTTTAATTACTCAAAAGTACAGTGTAGGGTAAATGAATTTAATTAAAAGTCAATTCTAATAAATTTACTGTGTTGTATAAATTTAAGTTTATTTAATTTATTAAATATTTCCTGTTTAATTATTCTAATGATATACTTTTAAAGTATTTGTTATTGTTCTTTTATTTCTTTAACCCTATTAAAAAAGGGAAAGATTCCTTGCTTTTTCTCCCTCATGGACTGCTAGGTGCTGCTACATTCTCTGCCTTGCTCTCTTCCCCATCTGCTCTGCTCTCCTGTTAATCTTTCCTCACTCACAGACATAGCTAATGGAAGTCCAGGTGTATCATCTCAATATATATTAAATCAAAAGATAAGAAAGTGTCACTTACAACTTACATAAAATTCAGGTTATGGACATTATGGAAAATTATTATGAACATCAGTTACAGTATCTAAAATGAAACACTCTGTCTTTATTCTACTTCAGACAACTAAAGGCAGGGGAGTAAAAATTGATTTAAAACATCCAAGAACAGTAGAACACTTTATGAATATGGATCCCATAGATCACTAATGTCTTCAGTCTTTTTTCTCACTGCATGGATATAATAAAAATAAAATATCTAATTACTAAAGTCTTTTTCCTGTGTCTCTGTCCAGGTACATTCTGTATCTGAAGTTGTTTGTCAAATAGATGATTGTCAAATGGATCTATTTCAGAATCAGAGAGCTATACAGGATGATGTATTAACACAATTCTTGGAGGATGTATATGTCACACATTCAGTTGGATTAAACAGTGAATTGCATTTCACTCAAAATAGAGAACAAAAAGTAAACATTATATATAGCAATAATTAAATTAAAAAGACACATTGTTACCATTCTTCTCTGTCAGCATCACAATTGCAGAAATAGTTCATGTCTATACAGTTTTCTAAAAGACTGCAGGAGCACTGCTGGACACCAGGCATCGAACCACCCCAGTAGGTGTGCTTCTCACCAGTCCGGCCTACCCACCACGAGAACGGGGTACCATCTGAAACACAATGTTCCTGTAGTCAATTAATAGTCATAGTAACTCATTATCATAATTTAAAAAAGAGCCACATATACTGTACACATTTTTTTCCAGAATACATAAAGATTCCTGTAATAGGACAGCAGATTCAGCCAAAATGTTTGCTCTTCTCTACATTCCTTTAAAACATTGTAGGGAATGGCCTGCTGCCCTTAAGAAAAACATATAAAATATGAAATAATACTGTATGAGGTTTCCAGTGTTGTGATCTTATATGGGTGCCAAACCAATCATCTTCTGTAAGTTGTCATCTACAAATACAACAGGCTACTATTTCTCTATGATGACTTCAACACTTTATACAACACACAATTTGACTGTAGGTGCTGCAATATTTGATTGTCACATGTTGGCTATGTTTGTTTCTTTTTAAAGTAGTAACTGTTTGTTATACTCACTACATTTTATTAAAATAGGCTAATTAGTTTCAGGGAAGCTGTTCAAATGTTTTTTTTTAGCAGTTTCAATGTATTGTCAACATATGCATATCTTGAATACCAAATATTTTAAATACTTTTGTGACAAACCATATGACAGAATTTTCACCTTTTATAATCTTGATCTATTCCTTGGATTTTTGTGGAGGTGTCCCTTGAAAATTACTGTGGAAAATTCTGAGTAATATAAAACATTTAAGAAGTGTCTTTAAAATTGGGTACTTATTAATAATCTGAACAATAAAAGTATTTACCATACCTGGAACAATAAAAGCTTGAAAAAGAAAGATCGACATGAAGGCTATGGGACACATGGGATATTCAAGTCAGGCACGAATATATACTTACGTACAGTACACAGATGTTTGTGTGTGTGACCACATTATTCATTTACACACCAAAATACACAATTGATATAGTAGTGCAGTAGACAGGTGTATGAAGGTAATCCAAGACTATAGCAGAGTGGGTTTTTCTATATACAGTCAAGATTTATCATGTTGAATGATTAAGGGATTGTGTGACATTGGTAACATGTAAGGAGGTGAAACATAAGGCCTAAAAATATGCATGCAACAATGACATGCACATCCTCAGAGTCCCAATGTGATGCGTGCATTATCTATCAAAGTAAAATTGAAACACTGCTGGCCACCTGGCAGACCATGTAATATTTTTCCCTAGTTATAATTTGAAATACGATTATGTAGAAACTAAACTTTTCTTTGGGCATCGGGAGGACTTAAGCTTGAAATACAATTATTTTGGTTTTGGCAGATGTTTTCAGATTTAGGCAGATGCTTTTGCCCATTAAAATCTGAACCCTAAAAAAAACTGGGAAAACTTGAGGTGTAGCTGTTATGAATGCATGGTATACTGAGCAAAAATGTAGCTCATCATATATAGGAGAAAGCATGAATTTCATAAAGGTATTAGGGAAATGGAAACATATTTTGAAGAAGAAGTAAAAACCTTTTATTGAACAGAAATAGGTATTTTTCAACATTTGTAACCTACAGGGTTGATCAATGAAGGCTGAGTGCATGTGGCCACCAGTGAAAGCAATGCAAGCAGTACATCTATGATGCATGAATGCTTTGTTGCAGGTTGCAGATCCTGTCTTGTGGAATTCATTCAACAGGATGTGGCTGTTCACTAGTCTTAGAGTCTTAGATGCAACACGTAATCCCAGTTCATCCACAAATGCCTAATTTGGCTGAAGTTTGGTGAGTAGGGGGCATTTTTATATTTTAAGAAATTTGTTAACATAAAAAGCATTAAGACATGCTTTGTCCTGTTGCAATGTTGTTATTGAAGGAGTCGCAGGAAGGGTAGCAAATGAAGTTCCAGGACTTGATTAATACTGGTGCCACACAATCAAGTTGTCATCAATCATTACAGCACTCATTCCTGGTGGTACCATCACACTTGGCCTTCATCAATCTTAGTGAAGTGTTATGACTTGTGATCTCCTAGATTGCACACTACTATTGACAGATTGTGTAGGGATATAATGTTTTGCTGGGTTTGAAACTGTTTGATATGAATATCCAAGAGGGATGAGTGACTGTACTTAGTCCAGACTAATAAGAAAGCCATCATTTTCTTCATAAACAGGAAATATTGGATCATTTTTGTTTTTTGTGCTTAAGTCACTTGAGTGTATTGAGATGAGTTGTAAATGACAGATTAATCAAAATGAGACCCAAGATATATATTCAATATCCTAATTTCAGGTTTATACATTGACGAAACATACATATACAAAATAAAGTGATACGTTTTTTTATGCTTACTGCAGTATTCTTTTTTTTCCCCCGAAGAAGGTTCCACAGCCGAAACACTGTTACCTTTTTTCTCTTTTCAGCATGGAATAAACCTTTACTTGTTAATACTTAGTATGTGTTCATACAATGCCTATGAAAGGGTTACTTCCAATTTTTGTACAATGTATTATACATAAAGACTTGTAAAACTGAACGCTTTTTTTTTTTCATTTTACCCACCAATTTAACCCTGTGACTGGGTGTAATAGAAAAAAAAAGTGAAAACTGAATATATAATTTTCCATGGTGTCCTACACACTATGATTATAAGAACCCTGTTACAACTAATATTAAACACCTATGTAAATTAAGAAAACTAAGCACTTCTTCATTATTTAGTAAATAGTACTGATGAAGTGTTATGATAAACTATCAAAAGTTCAACTCAAAATCTATTTTTCCTCTAGATATAGAATCACCTATTTTTTGTTATAGTCACCCAATTGTAAAATCACCTGTTTTAAAAAAATATATATGTTTTTTAACACATTTAGCACGTCCCTAATTGAGAGCACCAAAAGCCTGCAGGTGCCAGGGAGACTGCAGGGGTTGCTTTGTTTGCAAAGATTAGAGACAGTCCTAGCTGACTATTTCTACCATTAAAAACATTCACTGCTTCTTTGCAATCTCCAGAATTTGTGTACTTCC